CTTTGAGAGGAAATGATCTGATTCATCCATCCTGCAGGTGAGGAAGGAACTTCCCCCGGCAGAATTAGAACACACCTCCTTCCCCGCAGCGGGCAGTTCTCTCCCCGTGAGCTCTTGGGGTACTGCTGAGGAAGACACGGCCCCTCCCCTCCACTCCCTGCTGGCTTCGTGGATAGAGTTGCAAATGGAATAAAAGGAAGCGATGACAGCTTCGTAGGTGCAGTTCATCTGTCAGATGCTGTCACCATGGCCAGCGGAGCCAGGATGGGGCAGAGCTGCCAGTGGCAGAGTGGCAGCTGGTGGCCCATGGGACCAGAAGAGCTCCAGGGAGGCCACTCCTTGATGCTGAGGCAGCCCCGGGCTGGGCATCGCATTCCCAGAATCCTCTTGCTTCTCGTGTGAAACGCTCCTTCAGAGCCAGCTTCCATCCTACCCAGGCGAGTTCGTGTTTGGAGAACCTGTAGTGCTGAGACAGGCGAGAGGCAAGGAAAATGAACTTGCCAGGGTGCCCCGTCGGGGGCTCTGTGTGTCAGCCTCAGGTCTCTGCCTTTCAGACTCCCTTCTCCCCTCTGGCTCCCCCCCAATCCCCATCCCTGGTGCTGGGGTTAGGGGACGGGGTCCCTGTAGTGGGTTCTGAAGAAGCTTCCTAGTTCTCTGTTCACTGGGGAGCTGCTGGGCTTCAGGTGCTGTGCTAGGTCCTAGGTTTGGAAGAGTGCATGTGACAGAGGCTCCTGCCCACCCAGAGCCAGACCAGCAGGGGAACGGATGGCAAAGCTGTCTTATACTTGCCCCTCCTACAATGCTTTTTCTTCATGTGTGCCTTTTCTGAAGTCAGAGACTCCTCATAGTCGTGAAATGTATTTAATCTGGTGGCATTTCCTTCTCATTTTCACTATCAAGTTTGAAAGGGCAGTTTATAATCTATGGAGCCTTTGGATCAAGAACCCACTGTGGCTCAACAAATAATCACAGTTGCCCTAAGGGAAACCATAGGGTACAATGAACACTGTTTTAAGCAAGTCTCCTTCTCCCTCTTGAGTTCTGGGCCACAGTGCTGCAGTGATGGCATGCCTACACATCCTGGGTGTCCACTGAACTTGCAGCTGTTGGTGCTTAGAGAGTCTGGCATGGGATTGGGTGTCCCTGCTGGGGGCTGTGCAGGTCCTGGAAGCCTCCAGGTAGTGCTGATGCAGTTGGTCTCTGGGTGGCCCATGCTTTGAGAAGTCTAGAGCAGACTCTCAAGCAAGGGTTTGCAACCAGGATACACGTTAGAAGCGTCCAGGGAATCTTCCACAACAACTAAGACCCGGGCTGGGCCCTAGGCCCCTGGAGGTGGGGCCCAGGCAGCAGTGTATTAGCAGGCTCCCTGGGTGACGTCGAAGTACGCCCCATTTGAGGACCACGGCTGTAGAGGGTGGAAGAGCCCAGCAGTGCTTCTGAAAGTCCCGTGGACATGGGAGTCACCTGGGCTCTTGTGGAGATGTCCACCCCAGTTCAGCCTTTGGGGAGGGGCCCGAGCATCTGCATTTCTGGCTGCTGCTTGTGGTGCATGACCCCTGTCCTGAGATGCGTGGGAAGACACAGAGGCAGTCCAGGGTGTTCACGGCACTGAAAAATAGCCCCAACGAGAATTAGTTTTCTTCCTCTGGTCTTTGAGACTACCGTTTCTAATGCTCCCCAGACTCAAGTCCACGGCCTGGACTGCCATGTCAGAATCATGCAGAAGTTAGATGCAGATGCAGACACGGGAGGCCCGGCCCTCACTGGGGATTCTCAGGCATTAATGATGGGCCTGCCCTTTCACAGCCAGTGTTATCTCACTTACCCTCATTGCAGCTCTGTGGAGTAGGTGCTGTTATTCCCTGTGATTCAGATTTTTTTTTTTTGACAGGCAGAGTGAACAGTGAGAGAGAGAGACAGAGAGAGAAAGGTCTTCCTTTACTGTTGGTTCACCCTCCAATGGCCGCTGCAGCCAGCGTGCCGAACTGATCCGAAGCCAGGAGCCAGGTGCTTCTCCTGGTCTCCCATGGGGTGCAGGGCCCAAGCACTTGGGCCATCCTCCACTGCACTCCCGGGCCACAGCAGAGAGCTGGACTGGAAGAGGGGCAATCGGGACAGAATCCAGTGCCCCGACCAGGACTAGAACCCGGTGTGCCGGCGCCGCAGGCAGAGGATTAGCCTATTGAGCCACGGTGCCAGCCGTGATTCAGATTTTTTAAAAAAGCACCTAAGCCACAGAGGGGTCAGACACTTGTTAGCCTGAGGCCATTCGTGCAGTAAGAGGCAGTCCTCAGAACATTCTGGGTAAGCCCCATTTCTGTAAATTCCCCAGACACTGGCCTCCCTGCAGAAGACAGAATCTCCAGTGAAGGCATCTTGAGTTTCCTGAAGGGAGATCCGTTTGTACTGAGTGAAGTAGGAGTCTGTCTGTTCACATTTAAGTCAGGAAAGTGCATCTACAAAGAGACGGCTTCAGTGTTAGGAATAAAATCTTACATGACAGAGAAGGCACCAAATATTTTTAAAGAATATCTTTGAAAAAAGGCCGTCATAATCTGATAAGACAGTGCGTTTTCAGAGATTTTTCTGAGCGTGGGTGGAGACTGCTGCCTCATCTGCAGGAGGAAGTGGAGCAGCGTTTGCCGTGTCAGCAGAATGGGGTCCCCGTCACCCGCTGCTGCAGCGACTGGAGGTGGAGAACAGCAGTGACAGCCTGACCCCATTTTTGTCAGAGTTACAGTAATGCAAATACAGCCCTTCAGAGGGCAGTGCTTTGGGCCATTGTACGCAGGACACTAAGGGAGGATGGGGTCTGGATGTTGGTTCGCTCCTCTGTGCGGCTGACACCGAACTGAGCAGCGGGGCACGGATGCGGAACTGATGCGCTGCCTCCGTCCTGCAGGCTGACGGGGCCCAGGGTGAGGATACCAGCCACCTTTCTCCTCACCGCACACTGCGCTGGTAAAAGAAACCTGGGAGTTATTTCCTGGTTTCTCTTCCCTCATTCCCAGTTCCTTGCCTCCCACCACCCGTTTCTGTCTCTGCATTCATCCTTGACGAGTATTTACTAAGTATCTACTATGTGCCTGTGGAATGAGGAAAAAGATACTTCTGTTAAACACTCCTTGTCTTCTGTTTAGAAAAAAAAAAAAAAAGGTCTCTTCTTTAGGAATACTCTTAGGTTTACTGAAGATCATGACAAAGAGGGCAGAGTTTGAGTTCCCCTCATACAGTTCCCTTCCTGCAGGGGGCAGTATCCATATGTCAAGTATTGTTTGGAAATCTTTTTTTTGGTATTAAAAAGCAATTTATTTGACTTGTAAAGGCACGTTCATTATGGGTGAAACAATTGTTCGGTATTTCATTAGAAACTTTTAAAATTATGACCGTACATATACAAACTTAAATTTTAAAATTAGCATAAAGTACAGTTTTTAGCAAAAGAGATCCCCGGTTTCTGCACAGGTGAATAGCAATGATTTAATTTTGTTTTGACCCAGAAAAGTTACGACCTGTAATTTCATAGCAAGTAGTACAGAAAAGCTAGTCTTCAAGGATTTGCTTCCTGGAGCAGTAAGAAAGCAATTCTTGTAAAAGTGTCAGGGTCTACAAAAATGAGATTTCATCTCAGTCTCTGGGTGTTTTGTGTCTTGTATTTCCCGCATGTCAACCTTTCTACCTAATTTAGAAGTGGCATAGAATAAAAAGGTAATAAGTTCTGGTAGGCTGCGAGCCAGAAGACGTGGGAATACGAACCAGAAAGGTCTGATGTGTCAGGGACATCCCTTTTGCAGGAAGAACCACTGGTCATCCAGACAGACAGGCAGTTCTGTGTTTGTTGTCTCTTGAGAATGCTCACTGAAAGGGTTGTGCTTGTCTTCCATCTTGCTGGGCCTTCTTAAAGCTCCTATCCCATTCTCTGTGTGTTCTTTGCATTCTTTTGTTTGTTCGTTTGGAGATCTTTAAGGAAGACCTATCTCTTCACCTGTGCTTCCTTTTTATTCTGTAACTTATTTACATTAGTGTGGACTCTTTGATATTTATTTCATACTTTGTGTTATAATCCAACACTGTGTTATTTATCTTATGTCTTGGATTATTCCAAACCCGGCCATTGGGAGCTTGTTCAGTGGGCTCCTGTGTGCCCTGAGTGTGTCCCCATCATCAGGCTCCTGTGTGCCCTGGGTGTGTCCCCATCATCAGGCTCCTGTGTGCCCTGGGTGTGTCCCCATCATCAGGCTCCTGTGTGCCCTGGGTGTGTCCCCATCCTTTCGTGTTTTGAGCACCTCCTTATCTTCTGGTACTGCAAGATGCTCCCAGCTGTATCCCTAGAATTGGCCTTGTGTCCAAGAAGCCCTGGTTTTCTTGATTGGAGACTGGTATCCACAGCTGCAGATGTGAGTGCTGGACGCTCGCTGAGAGGAAGGGAACAGGAAAAGGAAACACATCATATGTTAGGTAGAGGAGCAGGGGGCGCAGTGTGTTTCTCCCAGGGGAGCCCTGGCCGGTATTTGGAGTTGAATTCAGTGGGAGTAGGAGAGAACTGTATCAGCCGTATCAAGGGCACCGGCTTTTCCATTCCACCTGATGTTAGACTTACAGTGATAGTGGCCCAGTTTGGATTTTCTCATTACCCAGAAATGAGCCGCTTTCACGGACTCTGTGTCCTACCGCGGGTGTTCTCTGCAGCCCTGACAGTTAACTGGGCTCCCTGTCCTTCCAGTCTTCCTGCCTTGCAGATGCTCCTAGTTCCCTCCCTGCCAGGCCCAGTGCTAGGCACCGGGGGCGCAGAGCCTGACTCCACAGCCCCTGCCCCGAGGAAGTTCTGTAGTTGAAGGTGAGATCCTGCCGCTGACTTGGCTTCCCTGCAGCCCTGCACCGAGTGTCTGATTACCACTCTGCAGAGCAGGGGGAGCAGGCAGAGAGGAAGCGTTAGTGATGTCTGTGTGGGGCATCGGACATGGAACTCGTCTCACTGAGAAACTCCTTTCTGTTCACAGATGACAGTTGGAGTCTATGATCCCTGTAACTTAGCACAGTACCCTGGATGGCCTTTGAGGAATCTTTTGGTCCTGGCAGCCCACAGATGGTACTTACAAGAATGTGTATGTCTGTGTGTCTGTCTTTGTCTGTCTCTGTTTTCCCACATGCATTTTCCTGTTGCTGGTGCTGAGTCCTTACGCGTGTCCGTTAGGGAGTCACAGACTCTGTTCAGACTGCACTGAAGATACCCTAGATTGAGATGGGCAGGTGCACAGGGTCCTGGCTCCAGAATCGGGCAGCCCTCCGCTCCCACGGTCTGATGGCTTCTCCTGCTGCCTCCATCCTCCTTTATTCCTGACCCTAACGTAAGTGACACAGAAGGTATCTGAAAAGACACCAGCATCACTAGTCATCAAGGAAACAGAACTGAAACCAGAATGAGGTACTGCCATGCAGCCAACCAGAGTGGGCTGGCAAGAACGAGTGTGCCAAATGCTGAAGGTGTGGAGCAATCCGAAGTCACAAATGCTGCCACAACAGCGTTTAGCAAAATCCCCCGGATTCAAAACCACGTGGGGCTCAGTGTTTTGTGCAAGAACTGCATGCGGAGATGCAAGCAGAACTCGCAGACAGGAGCGTGGAGGCCCACACACCCTCCCGCGGTGGAATGGGTGGTAAATTGTAGCGTATGCCCGAGAGTGGGGCTCTTGTTGCGATGAATATGAACACACCGCTGATACATGCCATCTACATGGATGCATTTTTTTTTTATTTTTTATTTTTTGACAGGCAGAGTGGACAGTGAGGGAGAGAGACAGAGAGAAAGGTCTTCCTTTGCCGTTGGTTCACCCTCCAATGGCCGCCGCGGCCGGTGCGCTGCGGCTGGCACACCGCGCTGATCCGATAGCAGGAGCCAGGTACTTATCCTGGTCTCCCATGGGGTGCAGAGCCCAAGGACTTGGGCCATCCTCCACTGCACTCCCTGGCCACAGCAGAGAGCTGGCCTGGAAGAGGGGCAACCGGGACATAATCCGGCTCCCCGAGCGGGACTAGAACCCGGTGTGCCGGCACCGCAAGGTGGAGGATTAGCCTAGTGAGCCGCGGCACCGGCCATGGATGCATTTTTTAAAACGATGTTTTGTGAAGTAAATTCACGTGTTCTATGGCTTCCTGTATGTAAAATTCAAACCCAGGTGTGGCCTTGGAGTGGCTGTTCCTTAGAAGGGTGGTGCAGGACTGAGAGAAGGGCTGAGGCAGGCTGCCGGATGCCTCAGACTCAGCCCTCGCATCTGCTCTACCTAATAAACATGCTTATTGAGAAATCTGGAGATAGATCCAGGATGCACTGCCCCCAGAGGGGGACTGGTTATCTGCCACTTACCCACGCGGTTCAGTCTGTTTACCGCAAGTGGGCTTCCCCTCCACTGGGTGAGATACCCCTTCATGAAGTGGAAGTTGAGGCGGAGAGACCTGGGACCAGAGGTGCCTGTGTCTTGGAGCTTCTTTCCTTATCCTGTGAGCATTTTCCTCCCTGCATTTGGAAGATGCATTTCTTGGAATTATTTATGTGCACTGCGGTTGCTGTATGAAATTCATCTAGAAGAAATCACGGGCACTTCAGCACTCAGCCGCCAAGCACTTGGAGAAAAGAAGCGCGCATGAATATGCTAACCACCCCTCCAAGGTTAAGGCCATCCCTCGAGGGTGTCAGGCATAATTACAATGAGCTGAATTCTCTCCAGCTGGTTTGCTGAAGCTCTTATGTGAGCTCTTTCTTTTCCTTCCCTTCATAAATAACCAAAACCCGGGACGGCAGGAGTAGCAGTTTCCGGTCTGTTGAAGTCCTCTGCTTCCGGGACCGCACCATGCAGGGGCTGAGGGACGTCGCCCACAGCATCATCTTCGAAGTGAAGCTTCCAGAAATGGCATTTAGCCCAGGTAATTTGCCAGTCTTTGAGAATGCGTATAATTATCATTTGTCAGAAACCGAGTCGGCTCTACTTCCGTTTCATCCCCTCACAATGGCAGCAGGAGGAAGAGAAAGGCACAGCTCCTGCTTCTTTGCCAGAGCCGACAGCTCCTTTGAACAGAGCCCACACTCAGCTGTTGAGCCTGGGACAGAGGCAAACACGGTCACCAGGAGATTTTCCCAGGGCAGCATTTTCAGTCATCTTTATTTGTATGTAACGCACAATCTTTATTCCTGGCCCTTCTTAAAGGAAGGGTACAGTTGGATGCACATGTGTCTTTATGTGTCCTATGCTTCAAGTTGTGTGTGGCCCTGTTCTCCAGGCCGTCAGCCAGGCAACACAGTGCTGCTTCCTCGTCCACGTTCAGCATCTGACCTGGACTCTGTGGCCGTTACCTGTCTATGAGTTAGGAAACGTAGGCTGAGAGGCGTTTTACGTAGATGTCTGTGTGCATGCATGTGCATCTGCATACGCAGGTTTTTACTCAGATGCACATCTGTATTTCCGTACAGACTGAGTGCGCAGGTGTCAGGAGTGCCACTTCACGGTGGATTCCTAATGAGGCGTCTGTGTGCTGTGTGAGAACAGGGATTGCAGGTGCTTGGTAAATTACTCCCTGTTAGTTTGCCTTCTTACATAACCCCAGTGCAGTTTGTACCTGTGCCCAAAGTAATCCTTCACATTTACATGCTTTATTTGCTTTCTAGAGTACTTTCTTTTTTTTTAATTTTTATTTAATGAATATAAATTTCCAAAGTACAGCTTATGGATTACAGTGGCTTCCCCCCCATGACTTCCCTCCCACCCACAACCCTCCCCTTTCCCACTCTCTCCCCTTCCATTCATATCAAGATTCATTTTCAATTCTCTTTATATACAGAAGATCAGTTTAGTATACATTAAGTAAAGATTTCAACAGTTTGCACCCACATAGAAACACAAAGTGAAAAATACTGTTTGAGTACTCATTATAGCATTAAATCACAATGTACAGCACATTAAGGACAGAGATCCTACATGAGGAGTAAGTGCACAGTGACTCCTGTTGTTGACTTAACAAATTGACACTCCTGTTTATGGCATCAGTAATCTCCCTATGCTCCAGTCATGAGTTTCCAAGGCTATGGAAGCCTTTTGAGTTCATCGACTCTAGAGTACTTTCACATGTACAGGAGTACTTGGTGGAAAATAGAATTAAAAGTTTATTTTGGTGCAAATGTTTGACATCCATGCAAGTTTTTATCTTGTTCATGGAAAATATGTAATGAAAAAATGGGTTTCAAAATTAACTTATCTTGCCATTTAATTTTCCACAACTAACTTGCCATCAACTTAACCAAAATTAACTTGTTAACCAAAGCCAACTTACCTTGTCATTCAGCTTTTCCACGAACTTTTTGAAGTACCTTCGTATTATTTAATTTGTTCCTCAAGACATCTCAATGGTTCCATGTCACATTTCTTTCTTTAATCTTTGGGTATGTCCAAAGTAGGGAGTGGGTGGGTGTGGGGAATTTTAAATCTCTTTTGTATGTTTTCTAGAGCTCAGAGGTTAGAAGGATTCTGGATCGGCCCAGGTCCTGGTCAGCAGTGCCCTCTCCAACCTGCCATAGGCGCGGGGGATGGAGTCTAAGATCCCCTTCCCTCAGTGGATATGGGGAACCATGAACTCTGTGTAGACTGTGTTTTTCCCTATGCATACAGACTTACAACTTATAAAAGAGACACAGTCAGATACTAACGAGTAACTTACTCTAAGTTTTAGCAACCTCAGTGTCCAATTTTTGTTCTTTGCTTCTTAAGTCAAGAGCTTTCACCTTTCCCCTCAGAGGAAGCTCCTCTGGGCTTCTCTTGTCACGTCCAGGTTGCCAGCATCAACACTGTTGCACCTGGGGGCCGTGATCAGGTAACATAAGGGTTCCTTGCACACAAACACTGCAGCACGGTCACAGCCGCTCGGTGGGTCTGACAGCGCCGGCGGCTGCTGGGTGACTGGTGGGTGGCTGGTGTGTGCAGCCCACAGACGACGACAAAGGGATGATTCATGGCCCAGGCAGGACAGAGTGGGACGGTGCCACATGTTGTCACACTGCTCAGAACAGCATGCGACCTAAAAAATTACAAACTGTTTACTTCTGAAATTTTCCATTGACTCTTTTCTTTTTTTTTTTTTTTTTTTTTGACAGGCAGAGTTAGACAGTGAGAGAGAGAGAGACAGAGAGAAAGGTGTTCCTTCCGTTGGTTCACCCCACAAATGGCTGCTACAGTCGGCGTGCTGCGGCCAGTGCACCGCACCGATCCGAAGCCAGGAGCCAGGTGCTTCTCCTGGTCTCCCATGTGGGTGCAGGGCCCAAGCACTTGGGCCATCCTCCATTGCCTTCCCGGGCCACAGCAGAGAGCTGGCCTGGAAGAGGAGCAACCGGGACAGAATCTGGCACCCCAACTGGGACTAGAACCCGGAGTGCCGGCGCCACAGGTGGAGGGTTAGCATAGGGAGCTGCAGCGCCGGCCAGTTGACTCTTTTGGATCCATGGTTGCCCCAGCTGACTCAGAATGCGGAGTGAGCCCGGGTGAGGGAGGACTGCGGGTATCAGTGACTGTGTGGCCTGGCGCTGACACCTTAGGTGGGCTTCTTGGAAAGACTGACAGATCTGCCTGGTCACAGCAGAAGCTGCTTGCCTTTTGGTCTCGAGTCTTCACTGTTGCCTTTTTGCAGTCTTCAGATGCGTGCATTTGATTTAGCACCCTCTTCTGGCACGTTCTGAAACAGCTTCCATGTTATGTTTCATTAAACCACAGTTTGAAGACAGTCTAGGAGAATGAGGTGGCAGTGAGTTACAGAGTCATGTCTGGCCTGTCTCTCTGCCTGGCAGGCCACTAGGACACCCTGCGATGAGCCACTTTGCTCTGCTTCTTTCTGGTTAAGTCTCTGAGTTACTCTTACTCCCCACTCCCCATGCGTGGCTGGTGCTTGGTGCTGCTGTCAGTCAGGCCCAGTAGCCTTTGCTGCATGTTTCCGATGAGGAAGGCTTTCTCCCACCCAGTAATGCCTTCACCGTGTCTTCTGTATGCTTGATGTGAAATGCAGATTATCTAGAGAAAGGCACATTTTCTTCTGCCTTTCATGTAAGAGCATGTTTTCTCTGTTAGCTGTTAATAAAACTTTAAAATAAATAAAACGTTATGTGGCCTTTGTGTTGCCCCTTCGCTCATGGAAACTAGTGAATGTGGGGTCAAAAAAGGCATACAGGGAATGCTTTGCAACCTTTTCCTGCCCTTAGACTGTGTATCTTCCGGGCAGGACTCCCACAAGTAACTGTTCCTGGGATGAGGGGCCTGGGGTGGGGATGTGGGGGTGGGGTTGTTCTAAGGTACGACTCTGTATCTTAATGTGAACTGAATGTGTTAGCCTGCAAGGACCTTTCAGTATTTGCAAGACATCCCTTGGTTGCAAGGGCAGTGGTATGAGTTTAGTTTAGATATTCTGCGTCTTGTGCTGCCCCCTCGTGGTGCAGCCAGGCCCCCTCCAGAGCTGGGAGATGCAGCATTTCGGCAGCAGCAGTGCTGAGAGCTGGGGGAGACCCTCCTCCCAACCCTGCCCTTCAGGAGCTCGTCCTGGCTCCCCACTGTGGGTGGGCGGCACCTCATTCCCCAGAATACTTTCTCAGAGTTCAGACCTGGGAGCAGACATGCTGGATCGTCACTGGCATGTATCTTTACAGTGTTTTTTTTTTTTTTTTTTCCACTGATCAGTTTACAGAACATCAGATTTTCTTAGAAGTGGACATGGTCTTTTGAGTACAGAGATGTTTTCATTTGCAGTGGTATTTTTGTCTTGTGATTTCTTATCTGTACCAGGAGAAGACCGATTTGTTAAGAACTTCAGTAACTTGGGGCAGGCACCATGGCTCACTTGGCTAATCCTCCACCTGCGGCGCCGGCATCCCATATGGGCGCCGGGTTCTAGTCCTGGTTGCTCCTCTTCCAATCCAGCTCTCTGCTGTGGCCTGGGAAAGCAGTGGAGGATGGCCCAAGCGCTTGGGTGCCTGCACCTGCGTGGGAGACCAGGCGGAAGCACCTGGCTCTTGGCTTCGGATTGGCATAGCGCCGGCCATAGCGGCCATTTGGGGGGTGAACCAACGGAAGGAAGACCTTTCTCTCTGTCTCTCTCTCTCTCTCTCTCTCTCTCTCTCACTGGTTATCTCTATCTGTCAAAAAAAAAAAAAAAAGAACTTCAGTAACTTAAGAGTTACTGCTTACTGTGGTCCCAAAGGTTCCTATGCTGGGAATTGGAGAGGGATTTTTGTGTTGAATAAATGAGTATGGTTATGAGAATAATTCGTAGGAAAATATGAATTAGTCACAAGGCTGAACTCCTTTTTCCGCTGAAGAACTCTGAAGTGTTAACCCCTTTAAGAACTCAAATGTATTATTTCAGTTTTCCTTTTTCACGGCGTGAGGACAGGACCACAGCAGCGTGCCTGAACTAAAATGGGAAGGGATATTTCTGTGTGGCTCCTTGCCGTGAGTGACAGCGGCAGCCCCAGCCAAGCTGGAAGCCAGGCAGCTTGCAAGGATAATTGGCCCTGTGGTTTTCCTTTAGTCATCCTACCCCAGCCACAAAAGATTATGCAAAGGAAATCAACACCTTCTGGACCCTACAATTACATTGAGCAATAGGATTTAAAAAATTAAACGAATTTTGAAGCGAAAAGTTTCCCAAGGAAGGGAAGATGGAGGTGCTGATAGGAATCTGAAAGATGAATGGCCTGAGAGACCCACCAGCCAGTGAGAGGCTTAGGGCTGCTCCCCCGAGGCCCTTGTCTCAGCCCAGCCGGGAGCTCTGTTCCCTCAGAGCCTCTCCTGCGACAGACGCTGGAGCGATGTTGGCGGGGCGGCCTGCGGTGGATTTGGGAGGGTGATGGAGGCCCTGAGACACAGGAAGACAGGGCAGTAGGTAGCTCCCACGAGCAAGGCGTGCAGCTTCCACGAACGTGAGGGAATAGCAGGAGTGCTCTCCAGGGCAACCAGGATCTCTCAGAGAACAAACTTATTTTAATTTCTTTTGAAAGTTAGATTTACAGAGAGAGAATCTTTACCCACTGGTTCACTCCCCAAATGGCTACAACAGCCAGGCCAGGCCAAAGCCAGGATCCAGGAACCCATGCTGGTCTCCCACTGGGGTGGCAGGGGTCCAAGCACTTTGACCGTCTTCTGCTCCCTTCCCCGGGCACAGTAGCAGGGAGCTGGATCGGAAGTAGAGCAGCCAGAACTCAAACCAGTGTTCAGATACAGTACCCACTGCACCACCATGCTGGCACCCAGTTTAAGAGAATTTTGCCCTGGTAGAATAAGCAGCATGTGTCTGACTGTGCTCCATGGGATTTTTTTTTTTAAGATATGTATTTATTTATCTGAAAGAGTTACACAGAGAGGGAAGGAGAGGCAGGGAGAGAGAGAGAAGTCTTCCATCACTGGTTCACTCCCCAGTTGGCCGCAGCGGTCAGAGCTGAGCTAATCTGAAGCCAGGAGCCAGGAGCTTCCTCTGGGTCTGCCACATGGGTGCAGGGGCCCAAGGACCTGGGCCATCTTCCACTGCTTTCCCAAGCCATAGCAGAGAGCTGGATCAGAAGTGGAGCAGCTGGGACTCGAACCACACCCACATGGGATGCTGGCACTGCAGGTGGTGGCTTCACCTGCTATGCCACAGTGCCAGCCCCGCTCCATGGGATTTTAATTGGTGTCAGAGGGTGGTGGAAGGAGACACGGAGAGCTCCGTGCTTCCAAGAAACACAAACCCAGGTCAGGTCAGGTGCTTTCCTTCCTCCAGGCTTCTCAGAGCCCTTATCTGCCGTGGGAGTCTCCAGGTCTGGGTGGAAGTGGGCCCTGGGTATAGAATAGAAGTACGAGGTGAAGGTGCAGAGCACTAATGAGGCGCGCTCAGGAGCTGCTGGAATGGGAGTGAGAGATCCCCAGGCAGGGGTTAGGAAGAGGGCAGCAGTGAAGGGTGCAGTCAGGGCTGGGTGAACGCTGAATGGCTAAGGTCGAGCTTGAAGGGTGGAGGAGAAGGCAGCTTCCCAGAGGGCCCGTCACCTCTGACTGTGATCCGCATCCAGGCGCACAGTGACGGCGTCGAGAGGCTGAGCAGAGGGACGTGATCAGGATGGGGAACAGAGTGGACATCCTGTCCTTAGAGCTTCAGGTCCCAAGCAAGTGCAGTGAGAGGTGTGCGCAGGTACACTGGCCTCTCCTGCTTCAGCACAGAGCCCTCCCGACGCTCACCCTGCCCCAGTTAGGAGTCTGTCTGCCTCTCCCTCTCCCTCTCCCTCTCCCTCTCCCTCTCCCTCTCCCTCTCCCTCTCCCTCTCCCTCCCCCGCCCCCTCCCCTTCTCCCTCTCCCCGCCCCCCCCCCCACTTCCCGACACACTTCCCATCACAGCAGAAGTTGAGGTGTTTGGGGCCAGGGTTGAAGCTGTTGCAGAAGCGCCTGTACCGGAAGCCAGTGCTTGCCTCTGAGGTTCTCTAGCAAGAGTCCTAGGTGCTGAGGGCGATGGGGAGCCCACGGCGGCAGCAGCCGGGCATTCAGGACCGCAGAGCTCTCTGAGGAAGGAGTGGACTGGAAACTTCCCACTGCAGCCTTTGTAAGGACGCCTGCCTGACGTGTCTTTAATCTCCCCTCCTTCATTAAACTCAGTGTTTTGCTTGCCTTAAGATTGTCCCAAAGCAGTCGGATGGGAAAAGAACCAGAAAGGAGGCATGGGCCCAAGGATGGTCAACGTCAGCGGGTGCATGGACCCTAAAAGGTACACGTGCTTTGGAAGTGTGGCTTTTCATCACCAGGATGCACACCTGGTCACGTGAGGCCAGCTCTGTGCGGCACAGGTCCATCCCAGAGGGGCCATTCACAGCGACTGTGAGTGTCCTGCACACGGCTCACCGGCTCTTCCCAGCAGTATAGATCTTGTCCTTGCTTCAAGCTGTGCGTCCCTGTGTCAGCTTTGGTCCTCTGTTCACCTCCCATTGGCATTGTCCTGTTGGCCCGTGTTACAGAAACACTCATGGACGCCAGCACTGGGTGGAAGGGTGGCTGGAAGTGCACCTCTGTTAAGGAGACATGGAAGAAGTTTCTGTTCTCAGTACCAGGGAAGACTTCCTCTCAGCCAGTAGGTGTGTGGTTGTCTTGACTGCTGGCCATGCGTCCCTTTTCTCCTGGGCTGCTGGGAGCTCCGTATCAGCAGAGCCGCCCAGGTCTGCGCTCTCGCAGCAGCCTTTCCCCTCCCTGCCCACCGTGAGGTCTCCTTGTTTCCCTTTGGTTCCCATTTCCCCCTTTATTTGCTGCTTGTTTTCTCCCATACTTATTTTATGTGGGCATTTAACACAAATTCTTAGAAAATAAAATGGAAAGATAAGTTTATTTTGGTGGAAATGAACTTTGAAATCCCTGTACATGAGAAGCCTTCAAAAAGCTCATGAAAACTGCATGTCATGAAAAACCTGTGCGTGGATTTCGAAATTTTCTTGTACCAAAATAAGCTTATTTAATTCCATTTTCCGTGAAAAAGTGCCCTGGTTTATCCTTCAGGCAAAGTCGGCGTACCAGTCGGTGGCTGAGTAACTGAGCTCTCGTCTTCCAGGCTGGCTGAGTCGTCGGTGGATCTCAACCTCAAGCTGATGTGCTGGAGACTGGCCCCTACTCTGGATTTGGACAAGGTGGTGTCGGCCAAGTGTCTGCTGCTGGGAGCCGGAACCCTGGGCTGCAATGTGGCCAGGACCCTGATGGTGAGTGGGCGGGGGCTGCTGGCCCCTCAAAGCCAGGGCCTCTCTAGTTCTGCCATCTCCCAGGTGCCCCTCCTTGCTTCTCCTCTCTCTTTCCTTTTGTGGGTCTCTTGTGCTCCTTGCGCATGGGGGAATGGACATGCTGTTTCAGCCCATGCCAGTCCCATTCCTGGCGTGCAGCGGCATCACAGGTGAGCACACCATGCGTGTGTCCTGGATGCTGCCCTGGGCCCCCGAGCGCACAGACGTCCCTGTCGTCTTTGCTGTGGCTTACTTATTTAGATTGACAAAAATCATAACACTCCGATCGTTTTGAGGAACTAAATGATTGGTTTAGCTGTTCGTCCTGTAGTTTTTATAGCAAAACCAACAAACAAACAAATTCTGCTTTCAGATTCATTGAGATCTATTTTTAAAAGGCCATGTGTGATTTATTTTTTAAAATATTTATTTATTTGAGAGAGATGGAAATCTTAAGTCTACTGGTTCACTCTCCAAATACCCAGAATGACTAGGGCTGGTCTGGGGCTAAAGGCGGAATCCTGAAACTCAGTCCAGATTTCCCATGTGAGTGACAGGAATTCAACCACTGGAGCCGTCCTCTGCCGCCTCTCAGGGTCTGCATTCACAGGAAGCTGGGGTCAGACCTGGGCGTTGAACCCAGGCACTGTAACGCGAGGCGCAGGCATCTTAGCTGCCAGGCTAAACACCACCCCAAAGTCCACTTTTGTCTTTACTGACCTCTTCCCAATTTTGTGGAATTTTTTATTTTATTTTTTCGAGCTTCTAGAACTATCAGGTGCTTAAATTTTCTTTACATTTTTCCAAGTTATCCAGTTAGTGTAGACCCACTATAGAAAAATCTGCAGTCATAAAGCAGGGTAGAGAGACACCCATGTTCCCACCGCTTTTTCACTTATTTCCTTTAGTGTTTGTTTATTATGCTTTAAAATATTATTTTATATGTAATAATGTTCCTTGCAGCATTGTAAATACTTTCCTATGCTGCTGAAAGCGGTGACTTCAGCGTCTCTCTAATGGCCGTAGAATGTGTCTCTCTATGTGCTGAAGCATTGATCACGTCGCACAGTCGTCTGAGACAGTCGTCTGATGTTGGCATTAGTGTCATTTCCAGTTTCGTACTCTTATCAACTCTGTTGCAGAGAACAGCTTAGCGATCACATCTTTCCAGCGTTTCAGATTATTTCATAAGCTAGATTCCTGGAAGTACATCAAAGCATATGAGCATTTCTTTGTTTGTTTGTTTTATTCTAAGCATTTATTATTTATTTGAAAGGCAAAGTCACCAAGAGAGGAGGAAAGACAGAGAGAGAGGTCTTCCATCCACTGATTCACTCCCCAAATGGCCACAACAGCCGGAGCCGGGCTGATCCGAAGCCAGGAGCCAGGAGCTGCTTCTGAGTCTCACACGTGTGTGGGGGCCCAAGCGCTTGGGCCATCTTCCACTGCTTTCCCAGGCTATTAGCAGGGAGCTGGATTGCAAGTAGAGCAGCCGGAATTCAAACTGGTGTCCATATGGGATGTCCGCACCACAGGCAGTAGTTGTACCTGGTATGCCTTAGTGCGGGCCGTAGATGTGAGCATTTCTAAGACCCTAGAAACATGTTGCCAGTTTGCCTTCCATGATGTGATCCCATTTTCAGTCTTGCCACCACATCCTCACCAGCACCGAGTCCTGGATTTTCTTTCACTGGACAGTTAGTCTGGGAAGCATTCCACAGCAGTGCAAAGGGAAAGCCCATTGGTGGGTGGCTCCCGGGGGCATGTTTGCAGCTTATCTGGCCTTCTTCCCACTGCCCAGCACATTCCTGGCTTCCCGCTTGGCACTTGCTCCAGGGAATGCAAGAATATTTCAGAAATAAATATCCCCAAGCCAAGCACACGTGACTTGGGAAGTTCTCATACAGTTGTTCCCTCTCCATGGTGGATTGCCTAACCTTAGGAGTGGGTAGGAAACCAAAAAGGTAGCAGTGGGTTCAGCCTTAGCCAGGCTTCCGAAGGGGGTTCTGGTCTGCCAATCCCAGCACTGGAACAAATCCTGGTCCCTGCTGACGGTCACCCTGACGCCTTCAGTCCATTCGAGCCCCAGAGTCCCGACTGGAAAGAGAGTGGGAGCAGGATCTGAGCTCTTGCTCGGCTGCTGTTCCCCTGCAATGTGCCTGCCCCGTCCCCGAGCAGTGGCCCCTTCAGTCGGTGGCGGCACTGTCGGCCAGGCGTGTGGCCTTAGACGGGTCTGCTGCATTTCTTGAACTTCCATTTCCTTTTCTGTGAGATAAGTGACGGGACTGAGGACTGCAGCAGTAGTGTGCACCTGTCCAGTCTCTGGGAGCAGTGGCTGCAGTCTGCAAGATCCCGAAACCCCAGAGAGGATGTAGAACCGTCCCCTAAATGCCCGATGATTACGAGACTGTTTCTGTCTGGAGGAAGGGTGCACGGTCGTCCCCCATCCCTCACAAGGCAGAGGACTGGTGAGCCAGCACCCAGATCATGCATTCGGGGTTTTCTTGAGTTGTAAGACAAGTGTTGCGTGTACTCATTGTTCATGAAGGAGAACCAGGACGTTGTGGGTAGGGGGTGGGGCGTTGCTAATCCTTTTAAGACAGCACCATGGACTGCTTATGGGGTTCACCTCTAAATCTTTCTCCAGTGCCTGCTCTGACAGTACGTGTTCTCATTGCTGCAGGAAGCCAGGCACTGAGTGCATAAGTATATTGTCTTTTAAAGGAAGTTGACATTCTTTTGATCAGAATACAAATTTGTGTAATTCAGCTTCTGCCGTGCCCTGGGTTGTGAGATTCCTGAGCTGCGCCCAACCAAAACCCCTTTAAGAGCTTGCGAGAGAGACCCTGTGAAGTGGCCCTCAGAAACCCACCCTGGTCTCCTGTTCCCACACAGGGTTGGGGCGTCAGGCACATCACGTTTGTGGACAACGCCAAGATCTCCTACTCCAACCCCGTGAGACAGCCCCTCTATGAGTTTGAAGACTGCCTCGGGAGCGGGAAGCCCAAGGCCCTCGCCGCAGCGGATCGGCTCCAGAAGATATTCCCCGGAGTGGTGCGTGGATGCTGTAGGGGTGTCACGGGCTTCCCCTCCGTGTGTTCTTAAGTATTCAGATCCTGGCTTTGCTTCCTGCTGGGCACTCCCCACATGGCTGGTCAGCACTCTCACATATTCTCATGAAAATGAAATGAAGAATTCATGACCACATGTTCTGTCGGTCGCCACGTGTTGTGTGAGGTCGTGCTGTGAGATCTTGGCACCTGTGGGTTTTGGTGTCCTGCACGGCCCGGAAGGGAACTGTGGTGGTGCTGATGGATGTTGTTACGTTGTCCTGCGTGAGCGGAGCGCTTGGTTGTTAGTTAGTACAGTTTTAGGAAATTAAATTAAATGCAAGTCTCTGCACAGGAGAAAGACTGGATGTAAGTTTAAATTTGTGCTCCAGCGGCTGTTTATTTTTTGAGTTATGTCATTTACTTCAGAAACTCCAAAATAATGAGAGAGAAGTCGTTCAGTTCATTGCATTCAGTATGTTGAGGGTTTGTTTTGAGGTCATCCAGCGAAAGGAATTTTGCATTCTGAATGCTCCATCAGTTTATCTGACAGGAGGCAGCTGACGCATCTCAGAAGCATCTGCCTCTGTGGAAAGCGCCAGAAGAGGCGCCTAGACCTCCGCAAGCACAAGCCCGCCCTGAGCTCCTCTCCCGTGGCCCAGCATGGCTCCCACAGGTTGAGAAGGCTTTGCTGTAGAAGCAGTGGTGTCCATCTCACCTTTCGTCCCTGAGGCACGTCATGCATTGGGTTTGTTCATCAGTACTGATGGAGTGTCCAGTCTGCACCCAGCCGTGTCCTGGATGCCTAAAGAAATAAGCATAAATCAGTCCTGTCGTCGGGCAGGCACCTCCGGTCTCTGTGGCGACGACATTGCCTATCACACAGTCCCCAAATCTCGGTGGCTTCCAGTGTCAAACGTTTGTTCCACACTCATGGGTGTGTGGGTTGGCTGTGTTTCAGCCGCAGGGCTAGGCTGACTCTAGCCTTTTGTCAGATTCTGGTCTGTTCTGTCTGTCTGTGCTTAGGGAAGAGCAATCGTCAGGGACCTGCTGTTCTTACCATAGAAGGTAGACGCTTAGAAGGGCTGGCGATTTTCATGGCTGTTCAGGTTCCAGCTCCACCATGGCACAGTGCAGTGTCTTCCGTTTCCATGACCAGAGCTAATCTAGGGCCACACCCAAGTCAGCGTGGTTTGTTAGTGTACTCGGCTGTCCTGGGGGAGGTGCTGTAGAGTCGTGTGACAAAGGGCATGACCGTCAACGTCAGCTCGAGGGAGGAGAGATACAGTTGAGAGAATAATTAGTCTGTCACTGGAGAATATTACAAACTCCCCTTGAAATTTTTTTTTTAAGATTTATTTTATTTATTTTAACTACAGAGTTAGAGAGAGAGAGAGAGAGAGAGAGAGAGAGAGAGATCTTCCATTCACTAATTCACTCCCCCAAATGGCTGCAATAGCCAGGTCGAGGTGAGACCAAAGCCAGGAGTCAGGAGCTCCTTCCCAGTCTTCCATCTGGATGAGAGGGGTCCACGTAGTTGGGTCGTTTTCTGCAGCTTTCCCAGGCACATTAGCAGGGAGCTGGGTTGGAAGTGGAGCAGGCAGGACTTGAACCAGTGCTCATTTTGGATGTCAGCATCATAGGCGACACAATGCTGGCCTGAACTCCCCTGAATCGCAGACAGACCCGGCTTTGAATCTGAGTTCTGGCGTTTATTAGTTACACACAACTTTTACTTTTCCACATTGTGCTGTTGTCTGTGGCCCAATGAAGTTCACTGTATGTAGTCATTCAGTTTTTCTGTTACTTACTCATTAACGTGTTCACTTAGTTCCTACAAGTACTTAACAGTTGTGGCAGCTCCATGGAGCAGGAGCTCAGTTGCCAAGAGAAGGTGTCAGAGATAGGCCTGGCCTTGACCAGGAGGGGAGCCGGGAAGATCCTGACACAGGAGTGGGCGTGAGCTCGACTCAGGGTGATGGAGCTGTCTCTGCGGCTCCTGAGGTGGTGCCTTGTGGACTCAGGGAAGATAAGGATGGCGAAAGCGTGGAGGTCATGGGGACTGAAAGGAAAGCGGGGCCAGCGAGGCCAAGTGCAAGTTTTCAAGGAAACCTCAGTCCACAGGGTCGAGCCTGTTCCTTCGCACTCACATGCCATGCCTGTTTTCCCTAAGGAATTATTAAGTCCTGAGGCCGGGAGTCAAGTCTGGTATGCTTGTATCCCTCACGCTTTGTCTATATTTAATAATAGGTATTGTGCAGAACTCACCGAAGTCCTGGTGTAGTCCATGAAATTCCTGAGAGATGCTTGTGAAACTGTTGAACTAACTGCTATCCAGGCTTAAGGGGTTTTCCTTCTGTTTGACTTCATTTAGTCCTTTCTTTTTTTTAAAGACTGTACTTACTTATTTGAGAGACAGTTACAGTCAGAGAGAGAGAGAGGTCTTCATCTACTAGTTCGTTCCCCAAATGACTGCAATGGCCAGAGCTGGGCCAATACAAAGCCAGGACCTAGGAGCCCCCTCCGGGTCTTCCATGTGGCTTCAAGGGCCCAAGGGCTTGGGCCATCTTCCACTGCTTTCCTGGGTCATTAGCAGAGAGCTGGAGGAAAAGTGGATCAGCCGGGACTCGACTAGTGCCCACATGGGATGCCGGTGACAGAGATGGAGGCTTAACCTACGCCACAGCACCAGCCCCTAGTATTTTCATTCAACAGGTGTTTCTTCACTGTCTTCCTTAGGCCAGGCCACAGGACAAAAGCTGGGCCTGGTCAGCATGGCATCCGCGGCTCTGCCCTCCGAGAGCTCATGCTGGTTGAGGAGGTACACGGCGAGTAGTTGGATTAGTTGTTTAATTCCAGTAACTAGAAGGTGCTGAGGACGTGTCTGAGAGCGGGCGTATGCAGGCCTGGGCTGTCGGGGGAGCTTTGTTGAGGAAGTGACACTGGCCCTGAGCCCTCCAGGGATTCATTAGGAGAAGGGATGGAAAGAGGAGCCAAAGAGCAGAGAGCTGGGCACAGGCCAGGGCCAGGAAGGGTGTTTCAAGCCAGAGAAGCTGGGCGAAGTGCGCGGTGCAGATTCCCCACACACATTTTCTAACTGAGTGGAAGTTAGAAAGATTGATTCTTTTATAATGCAAGATTATGTAAATTGTGCTTTTCTTGTTCAGTTATTGCAAACTCCTAATCTTCCTGCCTGAAGTCTTGTGACATTTGTCTTGGAAAAAAATAATTGGATGATAGACTTCTTTTAATTTCTAATTTTGAAATAATGTATTCACAGGAAAGTTCAAAGAAATGTCCCAAAAGGTCGCGAGAACCCTCCACGCAGCCTCCCCTGGGAGACAGACTTCAGGGGTCAGAGTGGTTTCGTTTGCACAGCTGAGCTGGACAGCCATTAGCGCTCCTTCAGAACCAGAAAGTCAAGCTTTTGGCTTTGCTGCAAAACACTTGACCCTTGCTAAGTATGTTGTGGCCACAGACCTTGCGGTAGCTCAGAGGCCAGCTCCTGAGAGACTCTTGATTCCTGTCTGCCTGACGTTCCTGGCTGGGCTCCTCTCTTCCACTCCAGAATGCATGCGTCACATTTTTTTTTTTTTTTAAGATTTATTTATTTACTTGAAAGTCAGAGTTACATAGAAGGAGAAGCAGAGAAAGAGAGAGAGAGAGAGAGGTCTTCCATCTGCTGGTTTCCTCCCCAGATGACCACAACGGCTGGAGTTGTGCTGATCTGGAGCCAGGAGCTTCTTCCAGGTCTCCCACACAGGTGCAGGGGCCCAAGGACTTAGACTGTCCTCTACTGCTTTCCCAGGCCATAGCAGAGAGCTGGATCAGAAGTGGAGCAGCCAGCACTCAAACCTGCACCCATATAGGATGCCAGCACTGCAGGCAGCGACTTTACCCACTAACCCACAGTGCAGGCCCCTCCTTTTTATTTATTTGAAAGACAGTTACAGAGAGAGGTAGAGACAGGTAGAGAGAGAAAGGTATACCATCTCCTGGTTCACTCCCCAAATGACTTCAATGGTCAGAGCTGAGCCAATCAGAAGCCAGGAGCCAGAAGTCTCTTCTGGGTCTCCCATGCGGGTGCAGGAGCCCACGTACTTGGGCCATCTTCTACTGCTTTCCCAAACACATTAGCAGGGAACCCAGCTCCCTTTAAAAGGGCTCCAATGCAGTTACCTGAAAAGAACTGCTCTGCTGTGAATGCAGAACCCAAGGCTGAGGCTGAGTTAGCAGAATACAAAAACAGCTGATCATTTATGAGTGAAATGACTATTTGAGGGAACCTTTTTTTTATGGTGAGGCAATAAAATGTAGGATTAGGGAGCCACACTCGAGGTTTTAAAGCCCAACTTTAGGCACCTGCTTCTGACATTAATGAATAGCTGATGCTGGGCTAGCTCCCCAACCATGAACAGTTATGCACCTGGATAAAGTACATCCCAAGACTGTAGGCAGTGAGCAATAGGCAGTGAAAGGCTTTGCTCTCAGGTGGACGGGAAAGAAGGGATGTTTGTCCCAGGTTAGCGCCCGCGGGCACTTCCTGGCCCACACCGGATTCCCGGAGGAGCTTGGTCTTGGTGAACTGAGAAGATGATGAGAGTTCAGAGCCGCTGCGTTGGCCAGAATCTGCAGGGTGTCGTGTCAGACCTGGGGGTGCTGTGCAGAGAAGGGGGTCCCAGGAAACTCACGGGCAGCACCTTGAGTCTTCGGCCAGATAACCAGCTGCACAGATAACCACGGCACAGCTCTGTAATGCGGGCCGGAAGCCTTCAGGGAGCTCACGAAGGCCCATGATGCTGCAGTCCCCATGCACCAAGAAAAGCAGAAACACCCTGGCAGGACTGTCAGAGAACCCTTGAGTGACAGCCCAGAAAGCCATGGACTAAGGATCTAAGACAGAGCCTTCTAGAAGAAAGTTCTTAGGGTCTTGGGAGGTGAAGTTTTCCTAGGACCAGTAAATACTGACACTGCCAAAACGTGAACGTTTGCCTTCTCGACAGATGCCATTAAGAGAATGGGAAAACATTGGCAGTACACGTGTTTGGCACGCAGCTTTTATCCAGCATACATAAACTCCACCACTCAGGAAGAAGAAGAGAGATGGACTGACTGTCCTTCAAGGGGAGTGAAGATCGAGGAGTGGCAGTGAATTCATGAAAGTGCCAGCGTCGGCAGTCAGGGAACTATCAATTAAAACCATGCAGATAGATCATGACGGCTCCTCAGACAGCTGAGACTGAGAGGACTGACAGTGCTAAATGCCGTCAGGCTGTGGGACTCTCACAGCTCTCACACTTTATGGTTGACACAACCACGAGACAGAAAGTACTCTTCCCCGATGACCCAGAAATTGTGCCTCCAGGTATCTCCCTAAGAGAAATGAAAGCGTATACACACTAAATACTTAGGCAGAGATGGCCAGTGCAGCCTTATTCATGATGGCCCAAACCTGGAAAGAAATCGCTGTCAGTGGAGGAATGAGTAGTAAAAAATTGTGCAACAGGCAGGCAAAGGAAAAGGGATGCGCTATTGGGGGTGCGCTGTTGACACTTAAGCGTGTGGACGGATCTGCACAGCCTGTGCCGAGCACAAGACATGCAAACGAGTGAATATTCTAGGATTTGATTTCACTGAGTTCTAGAATAGTCAGAGCAGGGTTGTCTGAGGTGATGGGGATTGGCTGGGGAGGGACACAAGAGCATGCTCTGGGGCCTGTGTCTTGGTGGGCGTGTGCAGGCGTTCATCAGCACCATGCAGAGTTCAGAGTATGTTGACGTGTACGTGCGAGATCTGCATATGGCACTTGATGCCCATTGTCCCTCACCTCACTGTACCTCTGGATCAGCTGGGGAGGTTAGACGATGTCCATGCCCACAGCCGCTCTCGGGGATTGCAGTTACAGTGGCCTGCAGGGAAGCCTGGGTGCTGGGAATCGTGAAACTGTCCGAACGGTTCTGATGCTCAGTTCTGATGTCGGAGCTCCCTGAATCCAAGCCCTTGGAGTGCAGTCCCCTCTCAAGAGGGCCCCTCTGTCGGCTTCCAGGCCAAAACTTTAGCAAGTATAGATTCATTTAAGTTATCAAAGCTAAGTGGGCAGGGACCACTTACTTTATTAGTGGGAAAGTCAGGGCTGGCATTGCGTATTTATGCTTCAGTCTTGGCGTCACTGAAATCCCCTCCTAATGGCTGCGTGGCTCAGGCCGGCGCGTGCTCCATCAGCTGTGTGGTGCCAGCAAGGTGCCGTTGCTCCAGGGACCGCAGTTGCTGCTTCTGTTGCTGTCTAGTACAGCGTTGGTACATGGGAGGTGCACGTGTTTTCCCAGAATGCCAGAGGGTACAACATGAGTATCCCCATGCCTGGACATCCAGTGGACTTCTCCAGCGTCACCCTGGAGCAGGCCCGCAGCGACGTGGAGCAGCTGGAGCAGCTCGTCGGGAGCCACGATGTCGTCTTCCTGCTCATGGACACCAGGGAGAGCCGGTGGCTGCCTACCGTCATCGCTGCGAGCAAGAGGAAGGTAGAGAGGGGGCCGCGGGGTGCGCGGCTCTGATCGTGCCTGCATGCCCCACCACCCCGAAGGGACACGCCCCCGCCTTCCCTCCCCCGGCGTGCGGCCTCGTGGCGTGGAGCCAGAGGGCTTCCACTCAGACTCGCACGTGTGGCGCCTGCTGCTGAGGTTCCCTGAGAGCCCTCTGGGTCCCCGCGGCAGAAGGCATCTGCCCTCAGGTGGAGGTGTGGCTTTGCTGCACTCAGCCTGTTTGGTCCCCGAGGACGCGGAGGGTCAGCAGTGCTGAGCGGGTCACCTCATCGTGGTGGTGTCCGGGTGTGGTTGCAAGTTGTCTATTTTCTAGTGTGGTCTTTCTTTACTTATTAAACTTTATGTGGTCAGAATTTTAGGAAAATAAGTTAATTTACAACAAAGAAAATTTCTTATGCTATAAATAGAAAAACTAGTCCTGATAAATCTGTGTGGAGGGTAGATTTTATTTCAGTAAAGCAGTTATGGAGAAAGGTCTCTGGCCGTGGCAGGGTCTGAGAACGGTGGAGGTGGGGTCTGCCGCGCCTGTCTCTGTCAGCTGCAAGCCCTTAGGCAGGCTGCAGAAGTAACCTCTCTGACTTTCAGAATCTTCACTAGAAATGGGAAACGTTTGTAGAGAGTTTTAAATAAAATTAAAAAGACAGTTTATGTCAATCACTTGTCACATCTTTGGAGCCTAATAAGCCGTCAGTGTTGGCTGGCTTTTATCATCATTAGCTTTCAGCGTCTGATCGTGCTCACAGGCGAAAAATAATTTGGAAAGTTGACCCAGTAGTAAATTAGCCGTGGCTCGGAGTCAGATGTCTGCTAACCTTGCCCTTTTGTTCCTCGACCCCACAGCTGGTCATCAACGCTGCCCTGGGGTTCGACACCTTTGTGGTCATGAGGCATGGCCTGAAGAGACCGAAGCAGCAGGGGGCCGGCGACTTGTGTCCCAGTCACCCGGGGGGGCCTGCAGACCTGCTGGGCTCATCCCTGTTTGCCAACATCCCTGGGTATAAGCTCGGCTGCTACTTCTGCAACGATGTGGTGGCCCCGGGAGACGTGAGTGGATTTCTTTGTGGTCCCTAATGTTTCCTGCGACCTTCTTGGGCACTTTTGTTCATGACTCTTCAGATGCTGGCTTTTAACAAAGAGTTCTGGTTGGGGCGCTGGATTCTGTCCCGGTTGCTCCTCCTCCAGTCCGGCTCTCTGCTGTGGCCCAGGAGGGCAGTGGAGGACAGCCCAAGTGCTTGGGCCCTGCACCCGCACGGGAGACCAGGAAGAAGCACCTGGCTCCTGGCTTTGCATCAGTGCAGTGCGCCGGCCGTGGTGGCCACTTGGGGGGCGAACCAACAGAAAAAGGAGGACCTTTCTCTCTGTCTCTCTCTCTCTCACTGTCTAACTCTGCCTGTCAAAAAAAAAAAAAAAAAAAAAAAGAGAGACCAACTGGGGCGGGGTCAGGTAGAATGTCGTCATCCCGCCGTGAGCTTGGATTGGCACTGTCAGCTACGCAGCTGCACACCACTGCTGTGGAAAGCCCGGCGAGGAACCAGCGCCGACTGGCTCCTGACAGCGCTCAGCATTGTCTCAGGGCGTGGCTGGTGAAGATCGCATTGCGCCTGAGGAGTCTAAAGACCCAGGTTGCACTCAGGCCCTGACGTTCCCCGTGGGGCATTCCCAGGAGGTCTCTTAGGCCCCTCCACACCCTTGCCCTGCACAGAGGGAGCGGGGCGTGGGCGTGGGTGTGGGAGCCTGAGCAGGCAGGAGCGCCGTGTGTTGCAGGTGGATGTGGAACAGTCCTGTGGTGCAAGTGTCCCATGCGGTGCACCACGCGGCCGAACTCCGCTGGGACTCTGCGTCTGGTGTTCTACCTGGCGGCACGGCAGAGAGGGAGGCACTCTTGCCCTTCAGCTCAGCGCACAGTGGGCCGGCGGGAGAGAGCAGGGCCACGCCGAGTGGGTGGGACGGCCCCCGGCTTTCATGGCACCCCTCGCGTCAGTCCGCGGGAGGGGCCGTTTATCAGAACAGAGAATAGTTTCCAGGGAAGCAAACAGAGACGTTGTACCCTCCCCTCCGTTGTCTCCTCCTTTTAAAACGCATTCCTTAATAAGCCAAACCCTTGCGAATGACTGGCTTTTATATCCTGTCCATAGAGAGAAGCTGGGGGCATGTGTACCCCCTCTTGGCGGGTGGGGGCAGGACACAGCTGGCCCTGTTATTTCTTTGTTGCCAACAAGTAGGATGAGACTTTTGCAACAAAGTCACATCTGTTCATGAAAGTGAAAGTCATCCCATCAACCCCTAAATTTTCCCAGAATCAGAATGTTATGGTCTCTTAAGTTGACCCAGTGAAGGCTTGGGTTTGGAGCTCTGGACCCCTCTCAGGGTGGTGAGAGGCACGCGGGAAGCCAGGACTGCAGGTAGCAAATTCTCGTTGCTGAGTTGAGGCCCAGCCGAGGGCGGCAGGCAGGATCCCTTGCACCAGTGAGGTCGCGGCTCCTCCTCTGCCTCTGTGTCTGAACTAGCAGGCACAGAGGAGCTGAGTCAGCGAAGGAGCCCGTGAGCAGCTCAGCCCTCCTTTTTGGTTGCTAGTCCCCAGTCTGCCGTGTGCTTAAGCTACTAATCAATCCTTTTTAGAATGTTGTCTCATTTGGTTACCTAAGTTCTATATTCTGTTTACCTTTTTAAGAAGTGTTTGTTTATTGGGGCAGGCATAGTGGCGCAGAGGGTTAGGCCACCACTCAAGATACTTGCCCCCCATGTCAGAGTGCCATTTCGGTCCCAGCTACTTTGCTTCCAGTCTGGCTCGCCGTGTGTGTGCTGGGAGGCAGCAGACAATGGCTCAAGTACTTGAGTCCCCACCACCCACAAGGGAGACCCAGGTGGAGTTCCTGGCTGCTGACTCAGCCTCATCCAGCCGAGTCGTTGCAGCCATGTAGGGAGTAAACCAGCAGATGGAAGATCTCCCTATCTTTTTCTTTCTATCACTCTGATTTTCAAATAAATAAATAGATACATACATCCTGAAAATGTTATTTATTTAAGAGAGTATGTACTCCTCTCCATTGGTTCACTCCCCAAGGTTGGGCTAGACAAAAGCCAGGTCTCTCACCTGGATGGCAGGAGCCCAGGTCCTTGAGGTATGACCTGCTGTGTCCCGGGGTGTGCATCAGCAGGAAGCTGGAATCCAGACGGAGCCAGGACTCAGACCCAGACTCTCCTGACATGGATGCAGGCGTCTTAGCTGCCAGGCTAAATGCCCGCTCGGCGTTCTGTCTTCATCCTCCCGAGCAGGGACTCTGCGGCTGGATCTGCTTTGCGGACCCTGAGCGCCTGGTTACACAGCACAGCTCTGTCAGGGCGGGGGATTGGGGGCTGGAAGTGCGTGGCCTGGAACTCCCTGCACACACCACTGCGTGTCTTTCCGCAGTCTACCCGAGACCGGACCTTGGACCAGCAGTGCACCGTGAGTCGCCCGGGACTGGCCATGCTTGCCGGAGCGCTGGCGGTGGAGCTGATGGTTTCCGTTCTGCAGCATCCGGAAGGGTGAGTCTGCCGCTCGGAGACAGCGGTTACACAGGGGACGCGTGGGGGTGCTTGCAGGTCCGTGTCCCCCGTGGTCCTTCCTCAGAGGCCTCCAGGGTTTTAGCGCTCTTTTTTGTCCTCAGAAAAATATGACTAAGAAATCCTGGTCTGCTTCTTGGGCCTGAAGGAACTTCCCACGGGGACCCTGAGGCTCCAGCTCCATGTCCTCCCGGAGCTGAATCCTCCTAGGGTTACTTGGCAGCTCAGAACAGGAAGTAGAAAAAGGTCGGAGGGAGCTTTAGGACTTTCCTGTGTTTGTTCTCAGACAGTCTGGATGTTCTTGATCCTGAACTTCGGTCCGGCAGTCCTTGAATCAGTATATTAGAAATGTGTGCAGGTGTCTCAGAGATGAATCTCCAGAGACCTCACACCTGAGGCTCTCTCGTTTGCTGGAAGTTTAGAGGCAGGCAGTCCAGGACTGGTACTGAGCTCTGTTATGCCTTCTGGGCCTTGAGTTCTTTCTTAGTGTCCACTCATCCACTCTCAGCTTTCTTACTTACGAGCGCGGTCACGAGGTGGCTGCCGTGCCTCCATTGTTGCATCTGTGTTCCAGTTGAGAAGAAAAGAATGACCAACAGATCAAAGGTGTGGGCAAGGACCACTTATTCCTTCCCTGCTTCTTAAAAAAAATTATTTATTATTTGAGAGGCAGAGAAAGAGGAGAGAGAGAGAGACCCTATCCACTAGTTCACTCCTCAGATGCCTGCAGTGGCTAGGGCTGAAGGTGGGAGCCAGGAGCACCGTCTCTCACGTGCACAGCAGGAGCCCAGTTACTCGAGCCATCACCACTGCTTCCCAGGACTTACATTCGCAGGAAACTGGAGTCAAGAGCTGGAGTTGGGGATCAAACCCCGGTTCTCTGATACGGGGTGCCAGCCTCTTCACTGCGAGGCTAAATGCCCCCTCCAAGTCTGCCTCCCTTTAAAGAACTTCCCAGAAAGACACAACCATCGATTGCCAGAAAGAGTAGCAAAAAACACTGGGAGTGGGGGGCCGTGACACGGCGCCTCTCTGAAAACAGCTGTGAGAGGACAGAAGAGAGTGGACCGTGGGGAGGCCACCACCAACGCCCACACAGTTCTTCTGAAATTCCTCCAGTTACCTTCACTTTCACATGGTCTGTCGGTATTCACTTGGTTTCTAGCACTTTCTGGTTTTGCTACTTTTCGTTTCTTTCCAGATCTGTGAGTTGTCAACCCGCAGGGCATTTTCCTTCCTCCTGGAGAATCCCCCGGGTATTTCCTTGACAAACACTAGCGGCAGATTGTTTCAGTCTCTGTTTCTCTGAAACTGTCTTTGTGTCTGACAGCAGTTTCCCCGTTTGACGGGAGTGTGGATGGAGAGTGATTGTCCTCCAGCGCTCCGAGAGTCGAGTGCAGTGCATCCGGCTACCCCCCTGAAGCAGTTTGCTTTTGCCCTCCTGCCTCCTCGCAGTAGCCTTTTGGGATTAGCTCATGGCCATGGTTTTCAGCGCCTGCGCTGTGCCTACTCCAGTATTTGTGCCGAGTGTGCTTGCCACTGCCCGTTCCGTGCACAGCTCGACGCTGCCCATCTGTGTGCAACGTCCTCAGCCGTCCTCTGAAAACACCGTGTCCGCCCTGTTCTCTCTCCCTCCTTTCTTCTTCAGCTTCAGTTGCGTGGTGGTTAGAATCGACCTGTGTGGTGGTCCTGTTATTTTCTGTTGTGTTTTTTTTTTTAATTTTAATTGAGTTTAGTTTTATTTGCAAGGCGGAGAGACAGAGGCAGACAGAGGTCTTTTATCCGTATGTTTACTCTCAAAATACTCACAAAAGCAAGGGCTGGCCATGCTAAACCAGGAGCCCTGAATACAATGTGTGTCTCTAACATGGACAGCAGCGCTCCTCAGGAACCTCCCAGGGTGCATCAGAAGTGGAGGAGCTGGGACTCGAAGCAGCTCTCCCAGATGGGATGCAGACATCCCAACAGCCGCCCAGCCGCTGTGCCCGACGCCCACCCCCCATTCCCATGTTGTTTTCCTGTTCTTATTGTTCTTGGCTTTTAGTCATGTCTTATGTCCTCTGGGGCCTGTTATTATTTTTGTTTCATTTTTATTGTAGAAAAATTCATATAAATATTATGAATTTATATTTACATGATTTATTATATATATGACATGTGTAAAATAAGTATATATGTGTGTTTTCAGTCAGTTTGTCTCTGTTTACTTCACTATGATGGTTTGCTTTTGGCTTATCTTCTAGTTTGCTAATTTTTTTCTCTTGTGTATCTAATACTTATATGTGTTAAAACCATTAATTAAGTTTTAAATTGCATTGTATATGTTACATCTGCAATTTTCATTTAATCTTTTCTACGTTTGCTGTTCTCTTCTGAAATTGTCATTTTGGTCTTTTTGATTCTTTGACAACATTTGGTCTTGTCTCTTTAGTAAGTCCTTATCAGTTATCTCCATTATCTGGGTCTCCCATGGGTATTTTCCTATTGTCCTTGTATTTCTTGGCTTTTAGTCACGTCTTGTCTGTTTATACGCCTGTTATTTTTCTTTAATTTCTTATTATGGAAAAAGTCATATAAATATTACAAGACTATGTATATCTGTAACATACTTATATATTAAGTTAGTGTGTGTGTGTGTGTGTGTGCACCACCAGCCTTAGCAGTTACTAACACGTGGTCGGTCATCAGTTATCTATACTGCTGTCCACACTTTGTTTCTCCTCATACTGGCTTGTTTGAAAGCAAATCCCAAGCATAGCATTTTATTTATAAAAATGTATCCTTTAGTCTGAAGCTCTGCTATGTTTACTTTAAAAACTGGAGGTGGTTCCTTAATACCGTCACACGTCCAGTTAGCATTTGCATTTCCCCAGTTGCTTGAGCGTGCTTGGCTATTTCTGGCTGAGTGCTGGACATTCCACACAAAAAATCGTGCAGGTGACGAGGCTGACATTCTGTTCTTCAGGCTGCTGGGCCGAGGGCCCCGGCAGCCCTCGAACACCGCGACGCAGCGGGGCCGCTCTGCTTCTGGTCCTCCCTTACTCTGAGAACGCGGCCCCAGGGCCCAGTGCAAATCCTGGGCTGTTTGCCATGAGTCCAGTGTTCCGCTCCGTCAGTGGTCAGCAGCCGCCGGAGGGGAAGCTCCCCTTCACGGTGTCAGGTTCACCTCGTGAGCTCCTCTTGGCTCGCAGGTCTGGGCTCGGCCGTTCTTCCCTCTCTCGGTAGCTCTCTGCTGCTGCCAAGCAAAAGTGTTCACACTCTGTCTAAATTTTTTATTTATCCCCGGTGGGAGGGTCGGTCCTGACCACACAAGCTTTTAAGATGTGGTATGATTCTCCGAGCGCTCACGGCGTACTAGGCTTTCCTGAGAGAAGAAACCTGAGCAGGCTGGTGCTGTTTGTTTCAGCGGGGCCCTTGGCGTTCTCATAGCCTGCGTGTGGAACACTTTACATGTACTGCATTCCAGATAAAAATCAGCCCAGTGTGGACTGGACAAGCAGGACAAAATTTAATTTAATTTCAAAAACAGAGTCAATGATTTGTTTACTTATTTATTTTTAAAGATTGATTTGTTAACTTGAGAAGCAGAGTCTCAGACAGAGGGATAGAGAGGTCTTCCATCCGATGGTTCACTCCCCAGATGGCCGCAACAGCTAGAGCTGGGCCGATCCAAAACCAGGAGCCAGGAGCTTCTTCTGGGTCTCCCACGTGGGTGCAGGGGCCCAAGGATTTGGGCCATCTTCTACTGCTTTCCCAGGCCATAGCAGAGAGCTGGATCGAGGAGGAGCAGCCAGGACTAGAACCGGTGCCCGGGTGGGATGCTGGCAATGCAGGTGGAGGCTTAGGCTACTACACCACAGCACTGGCCCCGTAGTCAATGATTTAAAAAAGAAGAAGAGAGAAAAGAAAGGAAGAAAGAAGAAAGAAGAGAATGTGGTGCCTTCAGATTCTCGCTCTCTGGCCCTGACTCTGCGGTCAGGTGTCCGATAGTCAAGCCACACCTGGCTGTGTCGCTCATGTGCCGTGATTTATTTCATTTTCCAAGTGCTTTCCACAGTGCTCTCTCTGTGCCAGGTCCCATTCTAACACTTTACAAATATCAATTCATGTAACTCTGGAGCTTAGCAAACCTATTAGGAAATAACTGTTATTACTGACACTTAAAAACAAATGTATGTGAGGGGCAGAGAGAGAGAGAATAAATCCCATTTGTGGTTTGCTTCCTGAGTATCTGATACTGGGAACTGAGAGCAGTCCAGGTGTCCCACAGTGGCAGGAGCCTAATTACTTTTTTAAATTTATTTATTAATTTGAAAGGCAGAGAGAGGGAGAGGTATCTTCCATCCGCTGGGTCACTCCTCAGATGGCTGTGACAGCCAGAGCTGGGCCAGGCCGAAGCCGGGAACTTCTTCCAGGTCTCCCACATGGGTGCAGAGGCCCAGCTCCCGCTTTCCCAGGCCATTAGCAGGGAGCTGGATAGGACATGGAGCAGCCGGGACTCAAACCTGCACCCTATGGGGCGCTGGCACTGCAGGTGGACGCTTAACCTTCCACGCCACAGCACGGGCACTTGAGCTATCAGCCTGTCTCCCAGAGTGTTAACAGGCATGTTAACTGCTAGACCAAATGCTCCCTACTCCTGCTGTTAGTCCCATTTTTGGTGGGGAAACTGAGGCATGGTAACGGTAACCAAGTAGCCAGGATTCACGGTGTTGCTCAGTGGAAAGGCTGGGATGTAGCTTGGCCAGTGTGACGCCAGGCTGTTTGGATCACTGTGCTGTGCTGTTGATAATACAGGCAGGGAGAATCATGTTTTTGAAAGATTTGCTTTCCTGATTCTCAAAAAGTCAGTGTGCAAACTCTCAAGAATACCATGGTTATTGTGCAGCTCAGAGCTTTTCTAGATGGTTAGAATATGGCCTCTGTACACTTGTGGTCACGTATGTAACCAGTGTAGACGCTGGTTTGTTCGCTTCTCATCTTGGTTGTCTGCCGTAGCTGCCCCTGCCATGTGGTCTCTTACCAGCTCCTGACAGGAAGTCTTTGGGGTGCAGGTTCTGAGAGCTGATTCTGGGCTTCCTTGACCAAGCCCTCTGCCTGCCTCTTCTGTGGCACAGGTAGATGGCACCTTCGCTCAGGGAGGGCTACGTTAATTAATTCTTCCTCTGCTTCTGTGGTCTTTGTATCAGTTCAGGAAACTCAGAAAGTTTTCTGCTTCAAAGTTGCAATACAAAAATATGCAGTGGTGTTGTGCAAGACTGTCCCAGGTTGAGAGAGTTAGTGTCTATTGGCTTACCATGCACCACACATTGTTCTGGGCCGTTTGTTAACACACTCCTGACTGGCTGGTCCCAGCCGCCGTGTTCCTGTCTTGCACATGGCGGGCGGACGCCCAGAGGAGTGAAGCTGCTTGCCGAGCGTCGCAGCTCTGGTCTAACTCCAGTCCACGCATTTTTTTTCTTGCTCCTGTGCCCTCCCTCCCAGGGACGTTCAGGTTTGCCAGCTTACGCTGCTAGGCAAGGGCTTTTTGGTCGTCTGCCTTCGTGCTTGGTGGCAGCCCCAGGCGCCTGGTCCTCCTCACAGGGGTTCTGCGTAGCGTGAAGAAGCCAGCAGCGCTAACTGTTTCCTCTCCCCAGGGGCTACGCCATTGCCAGCAGCAGTGATGACCGCATGAATGAGCCTCCGACCTCCCTTGGGCTTGTGCCTCACCAGGTTAGTGCTGTGTACGTGAAGTCCCAGCTCTGGACGTCATCCCTTCAGCACACGGGGAAAGCGGGGGGCATCCCTCTCCCGTCAGCAGTGCAGGCCACCTCCCGTCCACCCCACTGACACCCTCCAGCTGGAGGCCAGAGGCGCTCCATGCTGCGGGCTGGGGACGAGAAGACCTCATGGACACAGGGATGGGAGCAGCTTGCACGTCTTCCTTGTGCTCAGCATGCTGCTTAGAGGCCTCGTCATGGACACGAGTGGGAGAGCAGGCAGGCACGGACCCCGCCAGCCTGTGGCTAAAGTGCCAGGCTGGTAGTTACGGTGGCCTTCCTTGGCCAGGCCACTAGCCTTCCCTGAGTCTTAGTCTTCATGGCTGTAAATGATAATGATCTCATCCGGTGGCTGGAGAAGTGCGTGTAGTGGGTCCGCACGAGATGATGCCTGCTCTGTCTTTGCTGTTGTTACTAATTCTGCCCACATAGAAAGGCTTCGCAGGGGAGCATGGGAAAACCCTGGGAAGTGTGCAGTGCCACCACAAAGCAGGTGGCGTTTTCAGGAAGCTCCATCCCCTAAGGAATGAAAAAAGAGCAACAGTAGGGCAAAATGTGGACTTCATGCTGCCTCTTTTTTTTTTTTTTTTTTAAGATTTATTTATTTATTTGAAAGGCAGAGTTAGAAAGAGGTGGAGGCAGAGAGAGAGGTCTTCCATCCACTGGTTCACTCCCCAGATGGCCGAAATGGCTGGAGCTGGGCTGATCTAAAGCCAGGAGCCAGGAGCCAGGAGCTTCTTCCCGGTCTCCCAAACGGGTACAGGGGCCCAAGGACTTGGGCAATTTCTTCTACCGCTTTCCTAGGCCATAGCAGAGAGCTGGATTGGAAGTGGAGCAGCTGGGACTTGAACCAGCACCCGTATGGGATGCTGGTGCTGCAGGCTGGGGCTTTAACCCGCTGCACCACAGCGCCGGTCCCTCGCACTGCCTCTTCACGGGACTGTATTTCTGGAGGAATAAAGAGCAGTTCCAGTCTCGTGTCCAGGTTCTGGGTGTGTGTTTCAGCTCAAAACATGAGCGCTGGCCCCATCAGCACAGTTGTGACTGGGCCACCAGTCCCATCTGGGGACGCTCGAGGGCGCACTCAGAGCGGAGTGGCTGACCCCACTCACACTTGCCTCTCTTCCTCCCCACTGCCCGCCCCCTGTGCCTGGGTCTGCCCTTTCATTCTCCAGTACCGGATGGCCATCAGAAAAAGGGAATGAGTTGTCCCAGGTCACACAAAAAGTTGGGGATGAGGCCCAATCCCAAACCAAACCTGACCTTAAAAAAAAAAATTGGGGGCTGGTGCTGTGGTGTAGCGGGTAAAGCTGCCGCATGCAGTGCTGGCATCCCATATGGGCTCCGGTTCGAGTCCCAGCTGCTCCACTTCCAATCCAGCTCCCTGCTATGGTCTGGGAAAGCGGTAGAAGATGGCCCAAGTCCTTGGGTCCCTGCACCCATGTGGGAGACCTGGAAGAAGCTCCTGGCTCCTGGCTTCAGATCGGTTCTTCTCCAGCCATTGTGACCAGTTGGGGAGTGAAATAGCAGATAGAAAACCTCTCTCTCTCTCTCTCTCTCTCTCTCTCTCTCTCTCTCTCTGTCTTTCTGTCTCTCCTTCTCTCTGTGTGTAACTCCAATGTTCAAATAAATAAATGAATCTTTTAAAAAAAAATTGGGATTTATTTACTTATTTGGAAGGCAGATCACCAAGAGAGGAAGCAGAGAAAGAGAGAAATCGTCCATCCCCCGGTTCACCCCCACATGGCTGAAACAGCTGGGGTTGGGCCAGGCTAAAGCCAGGCTGAAGGACTCTGGAACTCCTTGTGAGTCTCCCATGTGGGTGGCAGGAGCCCAGGCACTGGGGCTGTCTTCTGCTGCCGTCCCAAGCACATTAGCAGGGAGCTTGACCTGAAGTGGAGCAGCCATGTGGGATGTCAGCCTGGCAGGCGGGGGCTGTCTAACCTGCTGTGCCGCAGCACAGCCCCCACACTCGGCCCTTCGACTGGTGTTCTCTAGAGCTTCTCTGAGTGGCAAGAGCCCTGCCTGCGTGTTGGGAGGCTTGGCTTCCAGGCACTGCCCTTGCCCCTTGTGCTCAGCCCCCCAGAGCGGACCTTCCGCTTGCATCTCAGTAAAAGCAGGTGCTTTTCTTTGTGTCCAGAGTGATGTAGACCACAGGACCCTCTGCAAATGTGACCCTTCCCCGAGCCTCACACAGACTGGCATCTGTTAGACACGTGTGTGTAAATCCTCCCTACGGGGGCGTGTGCAGTAGGACCTGGCAGACCCTGCAGTGACAGGCAGCTCCCACGAGGCAGCTCACTCCCGAGCCGACCTCTGCGCTTCCTGCTCCCGATCTCCTCCACATCCTGTGCCGGGCTCCCTGCCTTCCTCCTGGCCTGCAGGTGCGCCCACCCACTCTGAAAAGGGTCGGAAGTCCCTTGGCAGCCCCTGTCCTGCGCTGCCTCCCCTCCCTAAGTCCTCCACGCTCAACTGCTGCAGCTGTGGTTCCTCCATGCCCGAGCCGGGGGCAGGACGGTCCCCGAGGAGGGACCAGTGTTAAATGCGTGCACCCATGTTTTCACACTGCCATGGCAACCACACCCTCCCGGCGAGTGTTTCTCATTCACCAGCCCCTCAAGTTCCCTTCCCTCCCTCTCAGATGTCTGAAGGATTATTTTAGTGGTTGGCCATGTCTTCATCTGGCCTCTCAGAGACTGAAGAATAGCACGGCCATAAATGGGAAAAGCCCAGTTTTGTGCCTGTGTGTATGTCATTACATTATTTCAAGTTTCAAGCCTTTATTTTTAGCTTCTTTCTAAAAAAGAAAGTGGAGAAAGAACTTGACAGATCAGAGTTGGGTGGTTCTCATTCGTAGGCTTCAGACAGCCTTTTGTGGCCCGACGTGGAGTGAGTCCATCAGCGCCTCTGTGTTCTGATGAAGGGGGCGTTGTCTCCGCTGAAACACCGGGCTGTGTGGCATCGCCCACTGCAGACACCTGAGGTGGGCCGTTTCCTGTCGGCGCAGCCTGGGCAAGCCCCTTCGTGTACTTGGTACGCGGAGAACAGCCAGTGAAGTGCCTGGGCTCATTTCTCTCAGCTCCCCGAAGGAGAAGACTTGTTCACTGGCCCCTGTGCCTGAGGAAGAGTGGAGCAGTGGCCATCCCTGCCCTGAGACCCGCAGGCCCCGCGTCCACTCACTGTGTGACAGGGAGACGGCTCCCTGCTGGGGGACTCACTAGCTGTCCTCTGCGTGGGGCCCCAGGCAGAATTTGGCCACGTACAAAAGAAGATGTGATTGGGCCCTGAAATTCAGTGAATTTCTGCCTGAAACAGCCTCTTCCTGAATTTGAAAACGGTGAAAAGCTGTTTTAGGTGAGGAAATCGCTTAGGGGCTCTCGACTTCCTGTCCTCGTTTTTTCACTCTGGCCCAGTGTATGGGGAGCAGATTCTGCAGGCGGCAGCCGTGAGGACGAGCTCCTTCCTGCCTGCAAAGAGATTTTTGAAAAAGCCACTTGACTGATGCACGAAGTACATGCAGATAAGCACACAGACCATGAGCGGTTTGGCTCGATGAACAGGCACAGAATGATCGCCTCGTCTTCCCAGCGCCCAGATGGCAGTAAGATGGCACCAAGCATCCTCAGCCCCTCAGGCCCACCCCCACCCCTCGTGGTGAGCAGCCCCAGGGAGATGGTGTTCTGCTTCGGAACCTCCTGTAAACGGAGTCCTGTGGTGTGCGCTCTGGGGTCTGGCTGCTTTTGTAGAGAGAACTTTGTCATTGTGGAGCTTAGCATGGTCCTGTTGTTTTCTCTGCTTCAGCCAGGATCTTTTATGTAAACGAGGCTGCTGATGGCACGTGAGCCCTGCCAGGCTGGATCCTGTTTCCTCCGTCTTTCTGGTTCTTTGTTGTGAGCATCCAGGCCACTGCTGGTGTCTCCAGGAAGGTGGTTCACAGCCTGGTGAGAAATCTTGACTGAGACAGAAATTCATAGCCCCATGCCTAATGGTAAAAAAACAGGCAGCCTGACTGCCACAACCCACACATCATGGGCCCCCCTCCCCCCGGCACAGTTTTTGTCTTGCAGTAAATGTACTCTTGGTTCTAACGTCCTGATGAAGAAAGAACCGGAGTGTGTGTGTCCTTCCTCTGGGTTTGGACCTGCCAACTTCCTGGTTCTCACAGGGTCTTGAATTCTTTTTCTAAGTTAGTTACGGGAAAGTAGAACAAAGGCAGAACTAGGGCAGGACCCTGGGAGGACCGTGGCCTGGCAAAGCTGTAAGGGAGGCAGCGCCGAGACGGAGCTGCGGGCTCCTGTGCATCTCAGCCTGCTGTTTGCTTGGCCTGTCTCGGGCTGCACCCCTGTATCCTCAGGCCTTTAGCTTTCAACAGAGGTCTTTTCACTCTGCTCAGAAATGGATTCCTCGGGGTGCCCCAGGGTGAGGTCAGCCCGATGCCCAGGAGGGAGGTTTAGAAGAGGAGCAGCAGGGTGGGTTTCCCAGGAACGGGCTCTCCCTCCCCTTCTAGTGTTGGACCCCTCAGGGTGATGACAGGGTAAACAGCCAGGAAAGTGGGCATTCCTCACGTGATTCCGCACGGCAGCCATTGTGGCTGTGACCCATCCATCCCATGTCCCTCCCCGCCTCCGGCCATCCCTTCCTCAGACAGTTCCCAGACCCTCTCTGTGCGGAGCGCTGTCAGGTTCAGGGAAGTTAAGTGGCTGGCATGGGACGCTTTTCCTTCTGGAGCCACCTAAGGTGGTTGATGGCCCTCTAGTCACTCAGATGCGGTGATTCTCATGCTATTGGGGGCCCTAAGTCCCTGTTTCCTGTTGCTGTAACAAGATACCCAAGGCTGGATGCTTTCTAAAGCAAAGAGGTTTCTTTAGCTCAGTTTTGGAGGCTGAAAGACCAATAGTGGGCAGCTTCGTTGATTCCACCCCTGGTGAGGGCCCCATAGCTGGATCACAACTG